CGGGCCCATGTGCTATAGCAGGCCCAACTTCTGCAGGGGATCCCCGTTACCTCCGTTTCAGAGCGGGAGGGCGCACGGAACCAGGCAGGCGCACCAAAACACACATAGCCAAACAGGATCACACGTAAGCAAACTGAATCGCGAGTATACTGTATGTATTTCTGAGACTGATGTGAATGTGTGATGGAGTCGATCTTCAAAAGCCAAGTTACGACCTCATTTCCTCTGCCTAAAGCAGGGAACTCGCACTCAGTTCCTGGAGGGCCTAGTCTCTTCTGGTTTCTGTTACAACCTGCGTTGTCAATTAGTCAATTAACCTAATTATTTTCTAAATTAGACATTTTTAGGATTTTTCTTGAGGTCATTCGCAAATGATTATTCAAGACGTTTAGTAAAACTAGTTAACTATAAATCATCTTGGTGCCTGCTTAGAAATATTACCATGATACAGCTAATTAAGTGATTATCCCAGCTAATTGACTAGTGTCACTGGCAACAAGGGTGGAACAAAAAACAGAAGACACTAGGTCCCCCAGGAAGTGAGTCTGAGACTCCTGGTCTAAGTTTTCTGTTCTCACGGGTTAAGTTCGCACTGTCGGGGTTTTTCGCGAAACCCGTTTAGTTTACTCCGGGCATTGTGATGACATTAGTGGGTGAAACCAGGTGTGGAGTCAGTCTGTCCTGTGTAAGAGTGAGACCCCAAACAGAACCCCTCATCGTAGTCCTGGGTGCCCTACAGGGTTTGAAGCCCAGCTTCTCCCAGGTCCTGGGCCACAGCGGCGCTCCAGGACCGGATACCCCTGCTCCAATCCACGGCCGCATCTCAGCGCGAGACGACGCCCGACAGCCGCCTGCGCGGTGTCCGCCGTGGGCTCGAGACCACCGCACTCCCGCCCGCGACGCCTTCGGCGGGAGCAGAGCCGGAGCCCTCACCCTCTCTCCTGCCTCCTTTCCTCAGGGCTACCCCGGGCCGCCTGGCACGCCCCTGTCCAGAGGAGAGCCCCGGAAGACACGCCCGGAGCCCGCGATCAGCCGTTTCTACAAGCCCTCAATGTGCGAGGACCCCTGGGCCGGCCTGCAGCCTGTGGCCCGCGCCCCGGGAACGGACCACAGCTCGGGGAGACCCCTCTCCCACTGCCGGCCTTAGCTTTGGGAATCCCCACACACCCAAACAAAAAGCAGAGACCGGAAAACTGCCTTCAAGGCTCACTTTGCCCGAGCAGGGGTACAGAGGACACCTGGATTTCAGTGCTCTGTGCGGTGCCCCCACACTGCCATACACAATAGGGTTCTGCCATGACAACGAGCAAGGCCAAAGGTCATCACCTTGGCAACGATATGGAACCACTATCGGCGTACAGCACAGCACTGCACACACTTAATACACAACCTGGGACTGAAGACGTAGGACCCGGAAGAGGGTATAGACAGTCAACAGGGGATTTTATTTATTTATAGAATCAATACACTATGTGTAATTTTAAAAACAATCAATGCTTTATGCAATTGAAAGGTAAGTCTTTACACCATGGGCCATACAGATTTGCTTTGTGCAATGTGATTTGCATCCAAAAGTCAATCATTAAAAGAAAGTTGTGCCTTCCCCATCCTGAGTCGCATTCAGTTTTATGAAGTGGGCTTTATGAAGCACACTTAACGCTATCAGGCCTGAGCTTCTGCTTTATCTCCCATCGGCTTTCGTCTGTGAGCGAAGCGCGGGGGTCTGCAGCACTGTCTGTTACAGCTCTGCCTATTCACATCCAAGACCGCCGCTGCAACCTGCAGG